AATTAAACCCTTCGCGCTTTTTTTTATTCAGTCTTTCAAACTCTGGAAATGTACAACAGAGGACAAATGTACAGGAATATCTTAGTGAAAGTAGAAAAGGGAGATATATCAAATGCTTGGTTAACGAAAAAATCATGAAGAAAACGTGAATCCGTGAAAACTCATCTTTTTTAAGAGCAAAGGTGATTAGGTGTGGATCTGAGTCAAGTGTGGCAGTACTGTCTGGGAAGGAGAGAGAGAGAGAGAGAGAGAGAGAGAGAGAGAGAGAGAGAGAGAGAGTAAGTGAGCATTAAGAAAGGAAGGAACAGAGTGGGAGGGTGAGATTCCAGGCGACTACCATAGAAATTGAATGATATTTGGGAATGAGGAACTCAACCACATGCACCCAAAGTCAAACCGTTGTGCGAATCATCTTCCTCCATCTCTCTCTCTCTCTCTCTCTCTCTCTCTCTGTAGAACATTACGAAGAAGGTCAATGAAGGTGAACTGGTTCTTCTTCTCTTCTGTGAATCGAATCAGGGACGCCGGAATCCGGAATTTGGAAAGCAACTTTTGGGTTTCGCGTGGGATTTCAAACGGTCTGCTTTTTGCGCGGAAATTGTGGATGGATTTTGGGGCTTATGGACTATTTTGTGATCTGGGTTTGGAGCAGAGTTCAGAATATTGAAACAGATTTCTCAACGAAGCCCATCAGGCATGAAATCTTTATCACAACCAAGCCCACCATGAGAATTTTTATTTTCATTTCTGTCCGACGGTACCGAGTTTTGAGGAGACGGTTAGAGTATCTTCAACATGCAAGTGGTGAGTTGCTTTAGTAGTTAGGATCTTACTTTTCAATTGATTGCGTTTTGAGTTCAAATCTTCTCCTTCCCTTGATTATGATATCATTATCTATAGGTTATAACTATGTCATTGTTCAACCATTAATATATCAGCTAACTTGTTGTCCATATGTCATTCTTAGAGTACGGGAATCGGTTAGGATTTTTCTACAGACTGGGCTAGGTTTAATTTATTAGTCATGTGGGCTTTGGTTTCTTGTAAAGGCCCGGAATTGGATTCCGATCCACTTTGTGGGAATTCTAGGGATTCGCACATTTTAACCATTCATCATGTATCGTGCGATCAGAAATTATTTAACTTTTTTTATTTAAAATTAAACACAAATTGTATCTGAAAAAAACTGACCACACGATGTACAATAAACGGCTAGAATGTGGAAATCCCTAAGAACCCCACAAAGTGAATCCGGAGATGATCATTTTCCCACATATATCTCTTGTATGCCAAGTCACGAATGTGTATCCAAGTGTAAGCCTCTACATCCGTACAATCATCCAATTTACCAATTCTACATGGTATCACTCGTCTAGATTTCTCTATAACTCAAAACCCTAACCTTCTTCTCTCTTCCCTGAAAACCTAAAGATTCTTATTTCCTCCATGGCTTCTGCTGCTGTCGTTGTTGCTTCCTCCACCTACGACCCTTCTTTTTTCGGTTTCCAACGTCGCCCACTTTCTCAAGCTCACTAACCCCAACTACACTAAATGGTTGAGTACGTTGCTGGGCCTGCTAACGCCCTCGTCGCCAAACTTGGCCAGCCAAACCTAATCCATCGTTCGTTACTTGGTTCCAGGCTGACCAATTGGTCTGTATTTATATCACCTCCACCATGTCCGAGGCAATTCTCTCTCTCGTCGTCAACAAAACTTTGTCAACAGCTACTTCGGACTGCCTCCATGATCACTTCTCTCAAGTTTCCATCGCCAATACCACCAACCTTCGATTTCAGTTGCTTGATCTCACTAAGGGCACTAGCACCAAACTCACGAGATTGTTCATCGTGTATCATGCATGTTCTCATACTTCCCAACAAAATCGTTTGGTGGAGTGCATATTAAAATACCCTAGTTTATATGACGTTACAAAATTAAATCTAATAGTTTATGCATGGTACAAAAAGAAAGATAAAATATAATTAAATTGGAAAAAAAAATACAGAACAGATAGTTTTCATAATGCAGAATATTAATAAGCAAAAATTTACCCCAAAAAAGGCTTATAGAATCCATTACAGACTACTCCAATTGACACTATAGGTAGGAAAGCATATACCAAAATTAGAGTTTAATAATTTTCTTAGCATGAAATAAATAAAAAAACATGCACGACAAGTGATTAAGGAAGAATGCAGCCCTAGGCGGGGCCTTATTCGCCTTCCACCTAAGCTGCGCAGGAAAGGCTCAAAGCTCATCCTAGGGAACAGTGAAGCTTCATAGGGTCTTTCTGTCCAGGTGTAGGTAGTCCGCATCTTGTCTTTCTGACCGAAAGTAGGTACTTGTCATATCTCATTAGCATTTCGGCGCTATGATTGATCTCTAAAATTCGGTGAATTTTGGGTTCTTTCAAAGTGTCGGTCCATTTGTGGTCTTCGAATATCTTGCGACGGTGCCCTCGTTGATGCCGGTGAGCACCAAAACGGCGTGCTAGACAGATTTGTGTTTTTCAAGGAGACTGGAATTCGAGAAAGTTTCAGTGCAATGGCAGGATGTACAGGGAAGATTAGAACAGTTTCGGATTTTAGGTGAGAGAGTTGGGAAAAGACTGAAGTATCGGATTCAGGGTTTGAAGATCGAGATGAGTTTCAGGGGTGGATTTTTTGGGGTCCAAAGTGTGGAGAAAGTCTAGGGTGGGAGAAATTTATGGGCGGGGAGGGAAGATCGATGGTTTCGGTGCATGAGAGGGCCTTGTGGGATTTTTCTCTACTGGTCGCAGCAGCAGCGGCAGCGGCAGGGGACCATGTGGCAGTGGTTTTAGTCAAGATGCGACCGGCGAGGTATTTGAGGCGGGGGACGATGACATAACGTAACTTCCTGAAACCTGCGGACTTGAAAACTAATGTTAGGTGCCATTAGCTATAGCTATACTGCAAATAGTGCTTGCAAGAGAGAGACACAGAGGAAATTGCAATAGTGCATGAAGTTATGACAAGGAGCGGAGTTTATATAGAGAGCAAAAATCTACCTCACGGAGGAAGGAAACATGCATGAATAATCCTAGTCGAACTCGGAAGCTCATCAAACTTGCCCGAAACCTTCAAATTAACTTAGCTTTTTTGAACGTTTGATGTTCAGGTATGAACGTGGCTTGGAGAACAAGGTAGTGATGAACTGGGTCTTTCTTGAAAAATTTTCAGTTGTGACAGGAACATGGATGGTATACCACATGTTTTCATCATGCCCGTGGATACAGACAATCAAACTCACTAACTCGGAGCATCGAACTCGGAACTTTCCACATTTTTTTGTTTATTAAGAAGTCGCAGTCTGCACCCTTGTTACTGGGCCACTTGCTGTGGTTAATTTGCTAAGGATTTCGAACGACTGCTTTTGGTGCGGTTGTTTTATGGATTAACATTTAACAGTATGAAGCCATCTGAGGAAGGGACTATAATTTAATTACGGTAATTTTTTTGTTAACTCTTTGTTTTAGGTTGATTTTCTAAAGTCTTATTTCAACATTTTTTTCTAAACGTTTCAACCAATAAAAGGAGAAATTTTTTAGTGTGTCCAGAAAACGGAGTGATACACCACATATTACTATACTGGTGAAATATTTGTGTTAAAAAATTAACAACTTAAAAAATAATAAAATTTTCCTCTACTTATATAATGATACGTAGTGTACCATCCATGCTCCGACACAACGAAAATTTCTCCAATAAAAAGTTCAGGTTTCAACAAAGTTGGATTTTCTCAAATTTCAATGGCTTGTTCAAAATTGTACAAAAATCAAGAATTCGACAGGATGAGATTTCTTCTGATCGTTGGATTATTAGAGAAGATATAGAAATTATAATCTTGATAATTATATTCATAGCACAAAAAATCAACTTTTTCATTGCACCAAGACTCACCCTTTATATTTTCACAAAGGATGCAACGTAGACAGATGTATAGTTCGGTGATACTATAAGAGGGCACCCCAATTTGCCACCTACGTATCTCTATCTAGGCCTTTTATAAGCTAAATTCACAAGCCCACCTTCGTCCTTCTGTGGATATCTTCGGTTTTTGGTAGCAAAAATGTTGTATGCACTCTAGTTTTGTCTCTCAACACCTTGCTTCTATGAGCTCTAGTCTCATAAGGTCCTCATTTTGAGAGTTTAGGTTCAAATGCTTAAAATTTTGACAACTTAATAAAGCAAAACAAGAAAATGAGTTTTCTAATGATTCATGGATTTTAAGTTGATTTTGCTTTATTAAGTTGTTCAATATTTTAAACTTTTAGATTTAAACTGATACAATCTTGTGGCTAATATTATTTGGTCCTCACAAGTCCTTGAAATGAGGACCTTAGAAGGGCAAGATTGTACGTCTGTAAACACACGTCTGTAAACACCCAATAATGTAGCTAACTCACAACTATTTGATTTTTAGAGAAATGCTTCTTATGCGCTTTTCCATAAAATTATTTAAAGTAAAATTTTAAAGTACTTTTACGGAAATCATTCTTAAACGAACCCTTTAAGGGCTACACAAATCACTTTAGTAAATTGCCAAAATCACCTTCTATCTTTGTTCAACTATATTTTAATCTAAGAAGTGGGTGATTCAGATTAAGCTACATAATAAATCAACTATAACATATAATTAAATACCAAACTCTTTGTCTATGTAGGTCGAACATAAAACCTTCTCAGAGAAAAATATTTACTAAACCATATGCTACTTGCAACTGGTAGGATCACTTTAATTCAATGAAAACAATTACAAGTGAAAGTTTACACCGTGCCCTAACACTGATAAATAAATAAACACTAAAATGGGACAAAAACCCCACTCTCAAGTGAGGCTTTGCTAATTAGCATACAAATTAACATGGCAGGAATAAATCCATGCCAACTATCACATGTTAAATGGGATAGAACAAGAAACCGACAAGGTCACAAAGGGTTGGAGCTCAACCTACACAGTCCACACTAAGACACTAACAATTAACATCAACAATTCATCATCCTATTTATATATAATTACATACCAAAAAATAAATATCCACATACCTAAATTAGTAAATTAATAAGAAGAAGATGGGAAATAGAAATTGAGGATTAGGGCTGTGACATGTTTTTGGTCACAGGCTAAGCAAAAACCTGGAGTGGATCAAACACCATCACCACCACACATCACCAAAAAATCACAATCCTCGCTCTACAATAAGTAGTACTACAAGTTCATATTCCATGCATCAAATGCTCAAACTGTCACACTATCACACAACATATATAATCACAAAACAAGGAAGCACAGCCCTCGGGTTATACACCAAAAGCTCCTCCTCGTCGACCCTCGAGTGTACCCCGCTGCCTCCTCGTCCCACGACCGAGTCGAATCCACCGCCCTCTTTGTCCACGTCATCAATATCCTCCTCCGAGTCACACCCGACCCGACCCGCCACGACCCGGCAGACCAGCATAGCCCGCTTCACGTTCATGAACTTAAAGTCCTCCTCGATATCCTCCGGAATCGCCACGTGTGCCCTGGAGCTACTCGACAAAGTGGAAATTCCGTCCAACTTGGGCGAGAATCCAGATTTAATAATCCCGCAAATACTGCAGTACTCGTGATTACAAATCCCAGAATTCCCGTTGAGTCCCAAATCGCAGACGAAAGTGGAGCAGTGAAATCGGAGAAGCTCGTTGCCGTCGGCAATGCAACGCTCGTCCCGCCTCCGGCAAGCGCCGTTTCGCGCCGCCTTCGACTTGACCAGCTCTCTGTACTCCTCGAACCTCGACAGGATTTTACCGCTGTTGTGGATCTTCAGGATCCGGTGAATTTCGGGGGCTTTTCGCGTATCGGTCCAACCGGTTTTGAATATGATTTGGACGATGTTTTTGCCCGAGTCTCCGTCATGGAGCTCTGAAACGGCGTGGTGGATTGCCTGGTGGTGGTCGAGAGTCTCGGGCTTCGGGAAGATTTCGCCGCAGGCGGTACATGGGAAGATATCGTTTCGGAGAGGGAAGAATTGGTGGGAACCGGCCGAGATACCGGATTCGGGGAATGACCCAGGTGGGTATTTGGTGTCTGGGTCGGGTAGGACGAGGGAGACGATGGAATGGCTGGAGGAGCGGGGTGGAGTGGAGAGGTGGGATTGGATGATGTTGGTGCAGGTGATTTTGCAGGATTTGGAGGTGAAGATGCGTTTGAGATAGGACCAGGAGGTGGAAAGGGCTTTTTGGGGTTTTAGGGTGTTGGGTTTAAGGAGTTTACGGCGGTGATGATGCTTTGTTTGGTGGTTGGTGGTGGCGGTGAAAGAGAAGCAGCCGAGGTGGAGGAGGAGGAGAAGGAGAGAGAGGAACTTGTTGAAGAGTGTTGATATGTTGGCCATTAGGGTTTTGGAAAATGAGTGTATAGTAGATGTCAATAGCTATAGGGTATGCATGAAGATGGAGAGAGAGAGAGAGAGAGAGAGAGAGAGAGAGATGATTGGTGGTTAGGAAATTATGGAAGGAGGAAGAGGAGAGAGGAGTAGATGATCATGAAGGGGGAAGGAGATAGAGAGGGGGAGGAGGTGGGACATGGGAGCAGGTGAAGAAGAATAAAGCTAAAAGAGAGAAAGAGTAGGTGGAAGGCAACTTCATGGTATCTCTCTGTCTGCCTCTAGAGCTATCTCTATATCTCGTTTCTCTTAGATGATGGGGAGGTAGTGAGAATATCTTACGTCGAGGAATTAAATTTTTATTTTTATTTTACATATTATTACTGTATAACATACTTTTGACTGAAATTAACAGTCTTCCATTGAAGGGAATTTATCATGCATGCATCATATGAATAAGGGATGCATTCAGTGGCGAAGCCAGAAATAATTAGGAGGGGTGGAATTTAAAACTGTAAAAGGTCCCAAAAAATTGTAGACAATCAAATCCTTTCAGATAGTAAGCAATATTAATGTCATTCATAATCCAGGTTGAAGGTTCTAAAAGACGTTAGGAACTAGCAGGGCAGTGAACTGAAGCCTAGCACCTAAGCAGATTTGAGTAAATTTATTATATATCATCTAACGCCTAGGTGGGAACCTAGACGTATTTGAGTAAACTTATTATGTATATATTATAATAGAGATTTATAATCAAATTTATTGTTGGTATGGTCTTATTGGGTATTGGGCACCACATGTATTTTAGGAGGCGAAGTTTAAGGGAGAAGAGAGAGTTCACAAATAAAGTGGTACGAATTTTGAGTTTTAAGAAGTAAAACAATAACTTTTGAGTTACAGATAAAATGAGATCAAAATAGAGTTTCAGATGACGTAGCTAGGACTTTTTTTTATTTCTTGTACTTTTTACGGTTTCACTTGAAGCGTGCTTTTGTTTGGCTTGAACATGATACATGAACTTGAAACACTCCGCATGCATCACATGGATCTTACTTTTTCTGTCGCAACTTTAACCATAGCGTTCCCTTACATATTTGAGACATACAAAACAGAACTTGTCTGCTAGGGGAAAATTTTTTGTATGACGGAAATACGGATGGTACATTATATGTTTTTATAGAAGTGGTGAAATTTTTTTATTTTTTAAGTTATTAACTTTTTAACACATATATCCCACCATTTGTATAATGACATGTGATGTACCACCTTGTGTACCGGTTACATTGAAAAATCTCTCGTCTGCTTGAGCTTTGCCATTACAATTTCCTTTTAATAAAAACTATGAATTAAAAAACAATCACTTATCACCACGGTATATTAGTATTTATAAAGTGAAAATTTTAAGTTTAATTTTTATGAATAACGAGTTTGATTCAAAATTTTCACACGTCTTAACATAAGTAAATCATTATATCAAATACGAAAACCCCTTACGCATGCACTTCTCGATCATGAATTAAATACCTAATCAAAACTAATTAATCACCTCAATGATCGACAATCCAAAGTGCTTCATCATTGTCAACAATTAATTGAGGGAAACTGAGACTGGCATGTGGAGTTCCTTAAGCTCATCATTATTCACGATCACGTACCAAATTACCAATACATATATCTACTTGGAAATTAAAGAAGAAATTAATAAATTGATCAAGAACAAACTCCTAGATGCGATACTACGGAATGGATGTGATTCCACACGTGCAAGGCTCTCCCACAAAAGCGCCAACCCATTTAATTAAGAGAATTTTAACGAAAAGCTCTTGGTATTGTTCATTTTAACGAAAAATCACATTTTTATACTAAAAAGTCAATCATGTACTATTCAATTTATCATTTATTTTGTCCTTATCGTTAAAATTCAAAATTTTCAAACTTTTTCATTAGTTTTCCTTTTAATTAAACAATTTTTTGATACATAAAACCAACAATTAGATAAATGGGGTTTATCATGCGGCCATTTCTCAAAAAGAATCCAAGGCCTGCTCTTGCCGTTTAGTTTGTTTTTTCATTGAAGGATATGAACAAATATGACACATGATTTTGTCTAAAATTGTAGGTTTTTATTTTTTATGACTAAAGAAAAGGAGTAATGCGACAAAAATCCATTTATTTAGGATGACACTGTGTGTGAAGGACCCCCAAGAGTACAAAAAAAATTCAGTGTGTAGGAAACATGTGTTAATACACCAAGTGTCATATACAAATGGTTAGATACTTGAATGTTAAAAATTTGTTAAAAATTCTTTTTTAAGTATTCAACCACTTGTATTATAATATGTACGTAGTGTACTAGACTGTCGTATTCGTGACACACTAAAAAATATCTCCAACAATACATGCATGAAACTAATTTAATTTGTAAAATTAAGTTAGTGAAACCAAACTTCGAGGGGTTAAATTGGTTTTAGTGCTGTACATAATCGATTCTACTTTACAATTTTTCGAGTGCTGCGGCCATGCATTTTGGAGACATATATGCCTCTGATTTACTTTTTCGTTATCAGCAGGAATCAGTATCTCTAGCTACCTCCACGTTATCAAATTTTAAAGTATTATTTCCCTAATTTAATTCAACTGAGGGAAATTAACACTCTCAACATTTTGTGAATGTAGCAATCTAGGGTTACAATTCATATAGATCTTAAGACATGTTTTATATCATTCTCTAAAATACAAAATTTCTCGTCTACTTGTATTATAAAATGTGAACTGGTAATACTTCGTAACTGCATTACAATCTTTATCTTACCACTCAAAAAACAGTTTACATGATGGTACGAGTTCTTCACTAGTTGGTTCCAAACATGCACGATAAGCTACGTACGCACATAGCTGAATAGTGTCACACTGTATTGATGTGTATGCAATAGTATAGCTGTGATGACTCACTGTTGCTTCGTCCGTTTATTACTTACCTCTGCGTAAGAGTTTGGCTCTTGACCATCCTCTGAAAAGAGGAAGAAAAAGACCTTAGTCCATCAAGTAATTTGTAACAAAAGCAGAGCAGATTAGCAGTTGGGAACCCTCATAGATAAAGGTTGAAGTGAAGTTTTACGGTTTGTTTAGAAGTGCTTTAAAATAATGACTGAAAATATTTTTGGTGAATTTTTTTTTAGAACAAATCCTTAGTAAAAATGCAAATGAAATCTAAAAAAACACTTAAAATGCTTCTTGAAAGAAGCATCAGCTACTGTTTGTTTGAAAGTGTTTTTAAAATAACTGAAAACGTTTTTGATGAAAATATTTTGGAACTAATCCTTTGTAAAAACGTACGTGAATTCTGGAAAAGCACATCAAATGTTTTTAGAACTTAAAAATATTTTCTTTAAAAACAATTTCAATCATTTAAAAAATAATTCTCCTAACTAAAAAAAACTGAATGGATTTCGATGGATTCATCAAACAATGTAGAAATCTACATCTCGTGATATATTGGTTTATTTATCCTCTATGATTCTTCTATATGCCTCGGTCTTCATTATTTCATTGTGGACTCTATGATTCCATGATTCTACAACCCTTATAATAGTTTAATGTGGGCCACATGGCCCACTTGACGAACAAGTCTAGTAGTAGCTTTCGTTTTTGGTAGGCCAATATGATTCGTCTTTGGCTGATGAAAAATATTGCGTTGAAATCTCCTTGTCTGTGGTAGTACAGTGGTACACACCCCACTCCTATCTTATAATATGAGCCAATAATGGCACATAATTAACCTAATGACCCTAGGTTGATGGGAAATTATGGACAAAATTTATCACACTAATTTGTGGGATTTTTAGAGTGGAAATTACATTTTCGATTGGTCTATGTTTAGCCTCAATTTTATGAAAATTTGAAAAAAAAAAATTGAGGTTACACCTTTCAAAAACTAATTGACAATAGATAGATGACACAATTTTTCTCACCTTATATACTTTTGTAAACCTTCACACATAACGCATAAGTTAACCTGCTTTATATAGTTCTCCCTTCTTGGTTCTCATGTAGCTAGATCCTCCGGAACCACAAGAATTCTTAGATACAATGGGATCTCTAAACGCACTGGAATATGATCCGGGACTGGAAGAAAAAGACTTCTCTCTCCAAAGAAAGTTGAAATTCTTTCTTGAATCTAATTGAGATCACAACTCTTTCTAAAACCTATCACTAATCCAACTTTTTAAACAATTTTCATTGTTCAAACTCTTACAGTGGGAAGAGGATCCTCTCCTGAGCATAGGATGGGGATCCTCCTGACCATGAAATCTGGACCGTTCAATTTTAATCCAATGGTTGCAATTATTATAACTTTTAGAGAATCCCCTATTTGGAACTGTTGGATTAATTTTGAACAGTCCGAATTTCGTGATTAGGAGGATCTTCATCTTGAGCTCAAGAGAGAGGATCCTCTTCCTTCATCTTAGAGTCAAACTTCATTGTCATTTTCTTTCCAAACTACTCAGTAGTCTCGAACTATTAAAAAAGAATTGGCCAACAAGTGCGCTTGACTTGATATTGTTGACTCGATGAAGTGAAAACACAAGCAGACTAAAGGGGAAGAAAAAGAAGTAAAGGAAGCATCTGCTGTGGTGCTTTTCTCTTTTGGTAAAGCTTTCATTTTCACACCAAGAAAATCTTTTATCTATACTGATAAGGTATTATTTCTTTTCTCCTTTGCCCCAGTCAGTAGGAGAAAGCTGCCGACATCGATTTGCTTTTAGATTAGTGGGTAATCATGGTGTGTATTCTTCTACTTATTTATTTCTACATTTGGTGGTGACCATGTATGTGTACTGTGATAATGTGATGTCACTTGGAAAGGGCACAGCTTTAATTGGCCACCATTTTATTTGTTAATCATGCTTTGAAATAAACTACCATATCATGATATAGTGTGAGTGAGGCTATATATATGTGTGTGTGTGTGTGTTATCCTCATTTGGTGAAGACACTTGTTTTCTCATTGTGGTGTAATCAGAATTTAGGATCATAATCATGAATTAACAATTATGTGATCGTTCTAAACGCGTATTGTTTATATCTTCGGAACCTGTATAACCATTTAAGATTGTTGAGATGATTAAGGTTAAGTCGGCTAGAGCAGTATATAAGTACTCACATTTCTACATTCAAGTTTGAATATCCTTCTCTATAGTTTAGTATATGATCAAAATATTACTTTAATAAAATAAAGCTTCGAAGATAAATAAATTGATAAAAGTACGCACTCCCCCCATTCCAATCTCAGGCCGTACTGTCATGATTAAGGGGGCTTCTTCCTCTCATTAATCCAATTCTCCTTCAGGGCCCTCTCGCGGAAGGCTTCCATGATTTATAATCCCCGTCATCCGAGGCTCGGACTTTACCCCATCCTTTATCATATCAATAACATCCATCCTGCCATGAGCTCATAATCTCGTAGCGCGAAAACCATTGATCAATCGTTATACAAGGCGATCGAGGATTGCAACAGAAGATAGCTTTCAGAAACCCAACGTTTAATTTCAAATTGCGCCATGAACTCATCAGATGAATTACTACAGGAAAGAAGACAAACGTGAGGGGTTGATGCATGTTGGCTGCGTAATTCATTTAATATTTCTTCTTTCGTTGTGGTGGGATCAAAGATGAAAAGTCTTATGTCGAAAACTGAACGAGTCTTTAGCAATAAGTCTTCATTTTCTATAGAAAAAAACAGAAAAAAGTGGTTCGATCTGAAACTCCAATTGCTTGACATGACTGAACTACAAAGCGTTTTGGTACCATCCACGTTATAATCATCATTGCGATTACTTGTATAATAACTGTGGACACTATGTGCAGTTTAGGCATCTTCTTGTGCAAGGTATGATGGCTGAGTGACCCAAGAGAACAAATTTCAAAGGGACACAAGTGTTATGAAAGTTATTTTAAAGGGACAATAAAGAAATAAAAAATTCAAATAAGATCGTTCGTGAAATAAAGATTGGACTGATTTTAGAGTCACTGTAAGAGAATCTTGCATACAACAAGATATATATATATATATATATCTCTCTCTCTTTTTGTATTATGCACATTACGTAAAAAATGTGATGTCACAGATTTGCTGCTATATATATGTTTGGATGGATGGGAAATGTTTAATAGCTCTAACTTTCTTTTCCTTAACATGTATAACACTTGACGTGCACACTACAATGGTATTGAAAAACAATCTGATTGTGTATACAAAAAAATGTTATTAAGTAATGCCTAGGGGCATGAATTCACTACTTTTCACGTGATAAGCGCCATTTGAATATTCCCGATTGTACGCAAGATTATGCTTTCGAATTGAAGTTTGTGAGCCCATCATTGCAACCAACAGTACGACTACGGTTTAAACCTTGAGGAAACCAAGGGCCCAAGAACGAGCTTGCACCACTAATTGCTTGACTATGCGAATTGTACTTGGACGACCAAATAAATATTTTTTCAATGTTTAATATCAAATTCAAAAACGGACAACCAAGTGATCAAGAAAACGAGCTTTCACCATCAATTGCTTGATACATTACTAATGATCAGCAGGCCCAAGCCCAAACATTTTAAATTGGATTTATCTTGAGAGCAGCCTCTTTAGCTTTTAAAGACCAAGCCCAAAACTTTTAAATTGGCACAGCCCAGTCCGTTTAGAAAAAGAATTAAATAACAATTATCATTCAATCAGTTAATTACCCACCAACCCAAAACAAAACGGAAAAAACCGTCCACCTCCTACCCTTACCCCTAACTATCCAAGTCCCTTCCGTGCGACCACCACGTGTTCTAACCACAGCCAGTGCAGATAAATATTCCTCCCTCAACAGTTCCTCTCTCCGAGAATCTTCCCCGACCTTATAGCATATCCGTCTCGCTCCCTGCGAAGCTGGGAACTCGTTACACTGACTCAGCGACTCAGCAACTCAGCGACTCAGCGAGTCGTTTCATGCTCTGGAAACCATGAACCACGGAGCGCTTCTTTACTCCTCCTCTCCGAAACCCAACATCGTCCCGCCCGATATTTCGGCCACTAAGAGAAGTTTCGGCGCCGATCACCCAAGACCCCAAACGCCGGTTCGGTTTCGCGGGGGGATTCGGAACCGTGGGCAGAACTGCTGCTTCGTACGCGTTGCGGGCGGCGGCTGTAATCGGAGGAGCGGAAAGTGTTTGCGGATGTTAAACCGGTGGATAAGTTCGAGAAGGAGCTGAACGATGTCGTCTCGGGGAAGGAGGATTTGGAGGTGGAGTCCGCGGCGGAGGTTTCGTGGTTACAAGAGTTTCCGAAACGATGGGTCATTGTCGTTTTGTGCTTTTCGGACTTCCTTCTGCGCAACATGGACAGAGTAAGCTTAAAGCTTCAAGCTTTAACGACAACGAAATGTGTTGTATTTGATTCTCTGCCTGTACATACCTATACCTGTTATACGCGTTTGTTGGAATATTTGTGGTCATGTGCAAAGTGTTTTAAATTTGGGCATATCCCAATTTTAGTTGAAGTTCTGCGGAATTTTCGATAGATTTTATTGATTGATAACTTTAGTCATGTTTTTATGCATATTATGGCTTTGTCACCCATCCAGGTGATGGCCGGCATACCTCGGGACGTCCATTGGACATCGGGGCCAGGGCGTGTCACGGAGATGATCGCTACATATGCAGTATCATCTCCGAGTTAAGGATGATGATCGTCTTTTTCTTCGGTTGGATCCCTTACCAATACTACTAATTGTAGTATTGGTGATGATATTATTCATCATAAACGGGAATTCGTTGTATTTGATTCTCTGCCTGTACACACCTGTTATATGCGTTTTTTCGTAAGATATTCCTTGTGCCTTAAGTAATATGAAACCCGGGTTTGAATTATTACCATTCTGTTTTGTAATAATTTGTATGTACATATGACTTTGAATCATAAATTCATCGGGCAGTCTTCCCTTCCAACATAGGTGGAGGAAGATGGAGGAAGGCTGCTTATTGTATAGAAACTAAACAACTTAGGTTATAGATTTAGAATGCAATGCATTGTCTCTCTCGTCAACTGGCTGCGTACACTTTGATTTTCACCATCATGCTGGATTCCAGAAACACGTCGTCTCAAGGCTTTCCGTCCAGCTTCAGATCCCTCTGCAAGTCAATCATATAGAGCCTTTAACATAATTGGTTGATTATAGTACTTTGCTTGAGATGCATATGTGTTAAGCATGCATGAAATATATCTCAAGCTACGAGCTAATGATTGCCTAATAGAGATGAACGGAATACTGTACGAACTTGTCCTGCATTGCGAGAAGCTTGGCATCATTCTGCAACCATTTTTCCTTTTGAAGCTTGTCCTGCAAATTCAAACACGTACACATCTTAATCCTCGGAGTTGTTATGAAATCGATTCTCCTTCCCAAATGGGAATTTCCAAACATGAAAACTTGTATGGTACGTTTTGGTCTACCACATAAGCTGGATACAAACCAAAACACATAAACAACTGACTTGCGACTAGAGTATGGCAGACAATAAATTAAATTCAAATTCCTAAACATACCTCTGCAAGCGCAGCTCCCACCAAGATGGTACCAAGCTGCTGAAGAAGAAGATGGTGATGAGGTTGCAGTTTCGGTGGATGGCATCCCCATTTCCAGATCAGGGATATGTTTGATCTTGGGCCAATCACTGCCTTCCTTCCCGCATTGTTCTATCAGCGAGGCACAGCGTTGGATAGAGAGATGCAGGAGGGAGGTTGGTAGCCCACCCTTTTCCAGCTTTGACATGTGCAACGTTCCTCTAAGGTACACCATGTTATTCAATTCTTCAAGTTTGTTTCCTGTTTCGCGGCTAACCTGAATATATATATATATATATATATATATATATATATTTTGTAAGATAGACGTATGACCCCGCTCAACAACAAGAAAAGGATTGGAAAAATCAAAATATAAATATATTTGAAGGAAAAAAAAAACAAAAAACAAACCGGAAATTTGTGCAAGTTGTGCAGACTGGTTAGACACCCCATGCTTCGTGGCAACATCAAGGCCTTGTACCAGAAAATTTCATCTAGCTCCAGATGTCTCAGGTTGACAAGAGTTTTGAAGTTCTTGGGCAAATTGAAAATCCAAGGACAACGCAAAAGTTTCAACGTCTCCAAATTGAAGAGGTTGCATACCGAGTCAGGGAGCTTTCTGATTTCAGTTGCCGATAAATCGAGGTAGCGCAAGAGCTTCAACCTCCCAATTGAATCTGACAGTGTGACAACTGTGCTTGAACTCGGGTCTAGCACACGCATATATGTAAGTGAGTGAATTATCTCACCTTGTCCTTTCCCAAAGGCTCTCAGTTGCAAGTGTTGAACTGGAAGTAAAAGTGTGCGCAGCTTCTTCGATTTGTTGGCGATCTCTATTGCAGGCTTCTCAACTTGTTCTGAAAGCAGTGATACATGACGAGATTTTTCATCAAAATGTTTCATATCATTCACTTGGCAACAAAAGGGACTGGAAACTGAAAGTGCCAGATCATGGATAAGATCATGCATCCTATACTTTGTCTTGTCTTCAGTTGAGCATTCGAAGAAGAACCTGTCTGACAGCTCCTCAAAGTATCGACTTCCGATGTCTTCTATCCTCCCTTGCACTCCGTTCTCAGGTGGTTATATAAATCCTTCTTCCATCCATAACTTGACCAACTCATCCTTCTCATAGAGATATGATTTCGGAAACAGGGAACACAACGAAAAGCACTGCTTGTGATCTGGTGAGGGCAGGTGATTATAACTCAGTCTAAGAGCAGGCCGTACTCCAGTATCATCTTCTGCTCGTGCTTTCCATGTTTGACTTTTGGCAACATTTTCCCATTCTTTCAAGTTTTTCCCACGTAACAGACCTGCCGTTTGTTTTATAGCCAAAGGAAGACCCTGACACATACGTACAATTTCCCTTCCCCAATTTTCAAACTCCCAACGTTCGCTATCGCTCAAGTTACTATCTTCTTTGGGTGCCAATTTTTTAAACAACGACCATGACTCATCATCACCCAAACATTTCAGAGAATGGGGTGACTCTGAATCCATAATACTAGTAACATTTTCCTGCCGACTAGTCACCAGAACCTTACTTCCGTTGCCCCCCACATTTAAGACATCTACTAGTTGCTGCAATTCTTCACGATTCCACAGGTCGTCTAGAACAAGTAAAAATCGTTTCCGAGCCAGAAGTTCACGAATGCGAGTTTGTAGTTGGTCCAAGGAGAGAGAGGTAAAGTCAGTATTCTCAGTACGGGTTTGTAATCGTTCAAAGTAGTTGTAGTAGAGACCACGAAGGATTTCTAGTTCGCCCGAGTTGAGAGGGTTGAGATCATTGGGGGAAGGTAGTTGGTTCAACTCGAGGGAACAGGCATCTTCAAACGAGATATGTAGTTTGAAGAAGATGGGAGAGTTGGGATCGACAGGGGAATACATGAAAAACTGGCTTCTTTATCTGTTATCAGCTGTTCTATGATGGTCTTTTTTTTCTCTTCCCTACTAACAACTGAACTGTCTGGGATGGACCCAGTTTCCCGTGTTTTTTCTTGTGTTTTTGAATGAATTTGATCACTTCCTATCATTTTTCTATAGAATTGTCCATCTTGTTTAATCTCATGTATTCTTGATGTAATTTCTCTCATACTTAGACAATACACGATGCAGAAAGAGAAACTTAAAAGCACAAAACGGAAGATGGAATTTTTGTACCTGCTGCTGCTGCTGCTTCTTCATCTTCCACCGTTCACATTCTGCTGTCCAACAGTCGATCAAATCCTCAATATCATAAGATGGTGCTCGTAGCCTTTCGAGCCAATTCTTCGGGGCATGAGGAGTAGAAGCATTCATCTGATGATTTCCTTCCAAAATTTTAAGCAAATCTTGAATTTCCATAAAAGTACGTTTCAGCCTCTCTACCTCATCCTCGATATTGACGAATTCATTAGTAGCAGCATTAGCCAATTTCTTCATTGCAATCTCTACAATAGGACTTGCAAGGCTGATAATCAAGTCAGCCATGTTGTTATTTTCTTCCGAATTAAAATGGAAAGCCGAAAACAACAAATGGACAAGAAGAAACAAGGGTGAAAGAAAGGAAACATAAATGTAGTGTGATTTGGAGTCTGGAGAGACAATCCGGCTGTGTTTCTTGAATTAATGGATGATGCTTTGAAGAGAGCAATATATATAGCCGAGGCATGTGACGCTTAAATTCTGGAACAAGTTGATACTTTCCTTCGGTTGAAAAGATTGGAAGGCTTGAGCAGCACCAGAAGAATACTTGACAACACTCAAAGAACTTAGAATACTTGAACATACAGAAAAATCAAGGAATGACTCAAGCGGAGAGGAGAACAAATTCCCGTCCTCTCTCTGTCATCGAACTTCCCAAAGAATAATTAGAATGTCATGGTAAGCAGCTCTTCCGAGATAGAACCCTAGAAATTCACAAAAAACGTAGCTCACAAGAAAATATCAACGTTTCTGCAAGGAAAGTTGTCCTTGGTGCGGAAGTGAGGAATTTTTCCTTGCTTCTAACTTCGTCCCATGGAGATGCTCTTAAAACACTCAAAAGCATAAAAAAAACCAACCAATTCCAGATGCAGCACTCAAAGAATATGGTGCGAACGCATCTTTCACCAGCAACTAGAAATATGTGGAAGGTCAGGATGTTAGTCGTTCCTCCTAAACTGGTATGTTTTAAGAAGCCAGGACGAAGAGGTTCTTTACTCTTGCACTGTGGGTTAAACAACATAACAACTTAACCATGGAAGATTCAACAAATGGAGAATTCCGGGACTTCCAAGTAAATGGTCAGTCTGATTTCAAGTTTGAAGCCTGAAGTTATTATTATTTTATATTTCTACTTTTAATCTTTTCACAATAATAATCTTTGATTAATGGCATTTCCGCAGGTTATAAATAGAAAAGAATGATTCAGATATGCTTTCTAGACAATATCTTTCTTAATCAATTTCTTGCATGACCTGTTAATCCGGCATGACCTGTTAACAAATCGGATCGTTGTTAGGTTATCCGTCAAAAACTTGTTATCTTAACGAGTATAGTGCGAACGCATCCTTCACCAACAACTAGAAATATGTGGAAGGTCAGGATGTTAGTCTTTGCTTAATGGCATTTCCGCAAGTTATAAATAGAAAAGAATGATTCAGATATGCTTTCTAGACAATATCTTTCTTAATCAATTTCTTGCATGACAAGTTAATTCGACGTGCCCTATTAACGAATCGGATTATTATTGGGTCATCCGTCAAAAACTTGTTATCTTAACGAGTTTGACACGACACGAAGGGTTAAGATAACGGATATGACTCAAAAAAACTACAAACATGACCAATTTGCCAAGCCTACCTAACACCATCTCTCACACTTAGTAGCCACCGTGTGCGGACAGATCTGGACCATATAAGTGAGTAGCCCTGCTGACTCAAATGATTAAACTGTAAGTGAAGGAATGGGTTTTGAGTCTTTCGGACCACAACCTTCGGGAACCAAATATCTCCTCTCTGTTAGACATCCATTCTACTATTGCGCTGTCAAGGATTGAGTTAACAACGCATAACAAACTCAGCTAACATCGATCAAGATGAGTCATACAAAGATGAAAAAATCAAAGCTAAAACATATCAAAAGAAAATAAACTACATGCTTATTAGTTTTTGTATATATGTATGCATAGGGGAGAATGAATACTAAAATGACATTCCGTGCCGGCGGCATTCGGCACAGATTTTATGTATGTATCTATATTAACATAAATGCTAGACTGATGTAGCACTCTGGCTACAAATGCATGATGTTATACGCAAGGTCTTTAGCTATCACTTGGAGGGTCCTCCACACTGTTTTTGGAATTGTTATAAAGAGACCGGGTATGGCTAATTTCTCAAGCGGAATTTAACTCATGTCTTCTAGATGCCTGCAGTTTTCAATATGAAATAGAGAATTTTTACGTCCTTGATTCACAGGGATGACATTGAGGTAGCCAAACTAACGGGCGTACGCGACCTAGATGTCCGAGGATGGTTCAAGATGTCAGCGCTCTCATCAGGAGTTGTTTGTGAGATTGCCTGCATGGTTAAATTAACAAATGGAGCATCCGGATGGGAACTCCCTGTAACACTCAAAATCAATCTCCCAGGGCAGGGCGGAACAGAAAAGAAGCGCCGATATAGTCTCCTCAAGAAGCCGAGAGGACTGTGGATGGAGCTTAATGGTGGCAGCTTTCAGTCCATGGCAGGAGAAACTGGAGAAGTGATCATTGATCTTTATAATCATGACAAGCCCTCCAAAAGTGGGCTTATCATTAAAGGTATCATTATCAGGCCGAAAGAATTGAACAGATCTTAAATCCTAAATGTTCGATCTGTTAAGAACACCTACCAAAAGATTTGTACATAGAGGCACAGAAACTCATTTGATCCTTGAGATCCAATTCTTATGAAGTTACCATGGACTTATCAAGTCAGCTGAGGAAAACTTAAAATCTTATATTGCATAAACTTGAATGTGAGAGTAAAGCAAATTCCGTTTACGTGCATGCGCTCTCTTGAAAATATATTCAATATTAACTTAATTACACTCTTAACTGTATTTAGATTAAAGAAAATTAGGCAAGTGGTAAAATTATCCCTCGATTAGGACAGTTCTTTTAAGCGCACCACATTTCAAATTCAAATCTACCTCCTCATCGTGTCCCTCCAACTAGTGTAAATTAGAGTAGTACTCTCCCTTGTAAAACTAAATAAAAAATAAAAGATAAAATTTAAAGATTAAAAGACATAAAAAAAAAACCGGTGTGCAATCCGTTTGGCTTTGGTCCACGTTCCAAATCACTGTCGCGTCACTTATATCCACCTTGGACCTGGATTGTCTGCCCTACCCATCCCATACCCTCTTATTTCTGTGGTCACGGTTAAGTCACGTCAACATTTTATATTGATTTTTTTTTATATAGAAATAATAAGACAAAAAACAATGAGAATATAAAATGTTGACATGGCTTAACCGTGACCACATAAATAGGAGGGGATGAGAAGGGTATGGGACGAGGAGGGCAGATTATGTGCAGTTTAGGCATTTTCTTGTGCAAGGTATGATGGGTGAGTGACCCAAGAGAACAAATTTCATTGGGACACAAGTGTTATCATAGTTATTTTAGAGGGACACTTAGAGAAAAAATCCAATTAAGATCATTCATGAAAAAAAGATTGGACTGATTTTGGAGTCACGGTAAGAGAATCTTGCATATTGTTAGATATATTCATTTCTCTGTTTATACACATTATGTAAAAAAAAAATATCATACCACATATGGGAATAGATTTATTAAAAATTCAATTGTTTTACAAAAAATCCACTTGAAAATTCTTTTTAAATAAGCATATGGCATGTGGTTCTCCAAAATACGCTTCCATAACCCATGAACATTTTTAAGTTAGAAACACGATTAATTGTAAATAAAAACAAAAATAAAACATTTTTCTAGACCTCATAAGAGCAGCCCCTTTAGTTTTGAAATAGAAGCCCAAGCCTAAACCTTTTCAATTGGCACAGCCCAGTCCATTTTGCAGAAGCATTAAATAACAATTGGAATTCAATTTACAGTTAACTACCCGCCAACCCAAAACAAAGCGGAAAAAAACCGTCAGCCTCCTACCCTTACCCCTAACAATCCAAATCCCTTCTGTGCAACCGCCACGTGTTCTAACCACAGCCAGTGCAGATAAATATCCTTCCACAGTTCCTCTCTCCAAAAATCTTCCTCCGACCTTATAGCATGCGTCTAGCTCCCTGCGAAGCTGGGAACTCGGTACACTGACTCAGCGACTCGGTGAGTCGTTTCATGCTCTAGAAACCATGAATCCCAGAGCGCTTCTTTACTCCTTCTCTCCGAAACCCAACATCGTCCTGCCCGATATTTCGGCCACCAAGAGAAGTTTCGGCGCCGATCACCCGAGACACCAACCGCCGTTTCGGTTACGCGTGTGGATTCGGAACCGTGAGCAGTACTGCTGTTTCGCACGCGTTTCGCGCGGCGGCGGTGGTAACCGGAGGAGCGGGAAAGTGTTTGCGGATGTTAAATCGGTGGATAAGTTCGAGAAGGGGTTGGACGATGTCGTTTCGAGGAAGGAAGATTTGGAGGTGGAGTCCGCGGCGGAGGTTTCGTGGTTACAAGATTTTCCGAAACGATGGGTCATTGTCGTTTTGTGCTTTTCGGCTTTCCTTCTCTGCAACATGGACAGAGTAAGCTTGAAGCTTTAATGGTTATGCAATTTGGAAATGGTAATTAAAAATGGAAGGTGGAAGTTAATTACAGCAGTAAAAAGTTATTTTTTGTGAACTGTGGCAGGTAAATATGAGCATTGCAATTCTACCCATGTCAGCAGAGTACAATTGGAACCCAGCAACAGTTGGTTTGATACAGTCTTCTTTCTTCTGGGGATACCTCCTAACTCAGGTTAATTACATTTATGCACTTCTTCTAGTTAGTAATTACATCACATTTTTTAAGTTTGTATGTGATTGGGTCAACCGAGTTTACTAGAGTTTGTCAAATCCCTTTTTTCGTAGATTAGACTGGTTCAGAATATCGTGTTTTCAAACAAAATTAAGCCCATTGCCCTTTTGTCCTGTAACATCGATGACACATTCCTGATGTTCCATCAAAGATTCAAAAGTATAGCTTGTGAGAAACTTTTTGGTTTTTCTTTTAGTTACGTTAGAGGGAATCAGATTCTGGACTTATGTAATCTAATCTATAGTACGCCCTCCCTCGGGAGTTAACACTTGATGTTTTATCCCTTTTTTTTTTGGGTTAACTTATGACTGTGAGTGGCAGATTGCTGGTGGAATATGGGCAGACACAGTAGGTGGGAAGCAAGTATTGGCATTTGGAGTCATTTGGTGGTCCATTGCTACTATTCTCACTCCTGTTGCCGCTAAAGTTGGATTGCCTTTCCTACTCGTTGTTCGTGCATTCATGGGGATTGGTGAGGTTGGTCTTCTATAATTTATCAGTAATCTGTAGGAAATAGGTTGTTTATCGATCACTAGTTACTATGATTATTTGTCAACTTTTGATAATACTAATCACTATGGTTATTCGTTAACTTTTACTAATTACTATTCACTTAGTCTGCTTTTCTTTTCAGGGTGTTGCTATGCCTGCAATGAATAATATACTGTCGAAATGGATTCCTGTAGCAGAGAGAAGTAGATCTTTGGCTCTGGTTTACAGTGGAATGTATCTTGGATCAGTCACCGGCTTGGCCTTTTCACCATTTCTAATACATCAGTTTGGATGGCCATCAGTCTTTTACTCCTTTGGTTCTCTGGGGACGGTCTGGTTCGCTCTATGGCTAAGTAAGGTGATTGACTTTTAACCCCTCTCAGATTAGTATTTCTTTTTCAAGAAACATGTTACTTGCAACCTAAGGCACAACTTTTCGCTGTAAGTTTGGTATTTTAAGCAATGTCCTTAATTTTTTTTTTCTTTACTGATGTGTAAGTTCTATATTTGAATTTTTTTTTTTTTCATGGGGCTGTTAATGTAGGCACACAGTTCACCTCTCGAGGATCCTGAGCTGCGACCAGCAGAGAAGAAACTTATTCTTGCAAGTAGTATTTCCAAGGAACCTGTTAAACAGATTCCTTGGAAATTGATTTTGTCCAAAGCACCTGTTTGGGCCCTGATAGTGTCTCACTTCTGCCACAATTGGGGAACATTTATTCTTCTCACATGGATGCCAACTTACTATAACCAAGTAAGTCATCATTTCTTGCATTTGTTACCCTAGTTTGATGCCGCATAGTTTTCCTTCTAGTATAAAAATTAACTATCTTGTGGCTTTGCCAAAGTAGACGGTACTACAAAATTGGTTAATGCTTGTTGCTGCATAAGTGGCAAAGTGTTCAATCAGGCCTGAAATTGCAAGTTGAATTCTGATTTTACCATTGATCCAACCATTAGGTACTGAAGTTCAATCTTACCGAATCAGGGCTATTCTGCGTCCTGCCCTGGCTAACAATGGCATTTTCTGCAAATCTTGGAGGGTGGATTGCAGACACTCTTGTCAGCAAGGGCTTCTCTGTGACAAGGGTTCGGAAGGTATCATATTTCATCATCTTTTCTAATCTAAACCAAACATTATTTGGGGAACAGTTTTCCGAGATAGAAATCACATTTTCTAGTTCAGCTGTCGCGTTACTTATCTATATCATCCATCGCAGATTATGCAAACAATTGGGTTTCTAGGCCCTGCTTTCTTCCTAACACAGTTGAGCCATATTAATTCTCCTGCAATGGCTGTTCTATGCATGGCATGCAGTCAGGTATGCTTCGTTTCAAAGCTTGGTACAATTGCTTAATATTTTGTTGTTCATTCAATAATTAGCTATCATGTGCCTTATCTTGTTTTGTTTCTTTTGCTTAAATAGGGAACTGATGCATTCTCGCAATCTGGTCTATATTCAAACCATCAAGATATCGCTCCACGATATTCTGTAAGTATTGGTTTAGTTTTTGGTTTTGTCTTGCCCGTGCCAGTTTCTACTGTTGTTAGAACCATAAATCAAACATCTACCGAGTTCCAACATAAGCCTATCAGTCAATTGGCAATTGTGTGCTATTTGGATTTGTAGTATTGTATTATTGTATCTCAGAGTGAAGAGTAGGAGAAAACTGTGGTTCTAATGATCTTTGTTCCAACTGTTTCTCAGGGGGTATTGCTTGGTATGTCAAACACAGCCGGAGTGCTGGCAGGTGTCTTTGGAACGGCATCCACTGGTTACATTTTACAACACGGTCAGTCTCCATTTATTGCAAATTTTAGTTTGCATTTCACGCGTTAGCGGAAATCAAATTGCCCGAATTTGTTGGCCTCGAGGACATCAAGTTGTAATCCATTGGCAACAAGCTGATTCTAACACCCCTCCCTCTCCACTTTGATATTTTTCAGGTTCTTGGGATGATGTATTCAAGGTTTCGGTAGGCCTTTACCTGGTCGGAACTGTTGTTTGGAATCTGTTCTCAACTGGCGAAAAGATCATAGATTAGTTCACAGATAACTTGATTCTTAATCATCGCTGGCACTTCATTCCTGAGCTTTTATAGTTCAGAGTTATATTGGAGGAGAGAGGTAGCAAAAATGCCAAGAAATTGAAGTTGGAAGGAAAGCAGTATCATTTTATTGATAGTCTTGGACTTGCAGAAGAACTGTTACAAAGATTTTGACGTCGAACTGGAAGCTTGAAATCGAAAGAGTGAGGTGCTAGCTAGTTCTTCCCTGCAACATTTGAAGTTTCATAAACCGGCTGCATTTCATACAAAATTTTCATGAATACTGAATATATGGTAAAATTAAATGAACCCCCAACACAGCCATTTTCTGTAAATGTTGTATATTGTAATTTGTATGTACATGCATTTCCCATTAATATACCCTTTTTTAACTACTACGCTTCATTCTTAGACATTGAAGTTTGAATGTGCTTGTAAAATTGTTGAAAGCACTTTCTTCATTAGTACTTTTAGAACCAGTCCTTAGTAAAAATACAAGTGAATCCTAAAAAAAAAACACTTAAAGTGCTTCCTGCAATGGTGTTTCTTGCAAACAGTGGCGAAGCCATGATTTGCCGAGGGGAGGGGCGAAATTCAAAAGAGTACAAGGTTCAATCGAAGCGATTGCTTTTATATTGGAGAGTGCAAAGTTTTGAGTCAATATTCATAGCAGAAAATAGTCTCTCCACCACAGCGGTTGTAAGCACTAATTTCAGAGCCAATGTAAGAAGCTTAAATTGGCTAGGATTAGATCCTAAAAAATGTTAGGCACCAGTCTAAAAACAGATTGGGACCTAGCAGCTAGGTGCCTAAGTGAGATCTAGGCAGGAGCCTAGATGGATTTAAATTAAGAAAAACTAATGAAAATGTTTTGAAAATTTTGAGTTTTAACGATAAGGACAAAATAAATGTTAAAGTGAATAGTACAATGATTGATTTTTTAGTGTAAAAATGTAATTTTTCGTTAAAGTAAATAATACCTGGAGTTTTTTGTTAAAGTTCTCTTTAAATTATCATAAAATAAGCATTAAACTATATTTACATTGTTTTTAAAAATTAATACAATATTTATAAATAATATGAGAGTTTAAGATAAATACGTTGGGAATCTTAAAAGACAAAATAAAAATACATACAAGAATAAAAAATAAATAAAAAAGGAGAGAAATGGGTTAATAAACCACAAAAAAAGAATAATACTTGGTACTGACATTTACTGACCTCCTAATAGACCAATAAAATAAAGACACATGTCTATTTTCAAGTCCTTAACCATACAACCAAACATCCCCTATTCTGCAAACCAAACATTCTTCGTCTCCCTCATCGAACATTGAATCCCCTCTTATCTCCGGTGACGCACCCGCAACTCCTCTCTTCCCGGTGACCCAATCCCTATTTCATGCGACCCACCAATCGCTTTTTTCTATAGAGACTGTGATCGTTGTCCTCCATTATGGACGACGGCGATGATTGTGACCAGTCATCATCACTTCGCCATTTCATCTTAACCTGGTGATGTTTGTGGTGACGAGTAAGGTCCTAAAGCCACATTCTCTGCAAATCCAACCAAACTATCGCCCTTTCTCTACAAATTCGACCAAGACGGTGCATCGACCAAAACCAATTTTTACAGGTGCCATGAATTTCGACGAGAGCGAAGGGGCTCAATCAGCGCTCCTAGCGTGTTTTCCGGTGAGGGGAGTGGCGGCTGCCACTTCTCGCTCTCACGTAGTTTCGCTACTGCTTGCAGAAAGCACTTCAAATGCTTTGAGAACCCAAAAATAATTTAACCAAAAGCGCTTAAAAACACTTCCAATCAAAATGTGTGTTGGTATGGGCTCGTTTGATGTTTGATTGAATTCGAAAACAATGTCCGAATTATGTTGAATGATTTAACCACCCAAAAAAAGAAAAAAGAAAATGCCGAATGAGCAAAAAAAGTGTGTCTAACTTGAAGGTGTCTCTCCTACAAGTTGGTTAGCTACAACTGCTTTGTTAATATTCACTTACGGAAACAAGTCTCACTTCTATAAGATTTGTACTCAACAATCCGATTAACTATTATTGACACGTAATACACATAGTTATACTATATCAAGATTATAGGTTCCAATAAATGTTTGTCAAAACAAGAAGAGAATGATTAGGTTGAGACATAAATCAAAACCTAAAACTAAAGTAATACGACCAATTTATCATTGCACCTAAGATTTTGTGTTCGACTCTCCCTACATAGTATCCTTTGTGCAAACAAAAATTTCACAGTTATGCTACTTATTTAAAATTTGCTAATCTAGTTTAGCTACTACGTACATAGAACAAGCTTGAAGAGTATTAATTATATTTTATTGATAAAAGTATTAATTAAAAAAACCCACATCAAATGAAATGGAATATAATTAACAACATAAAGACATCATCAAATCTTCCAACTTAGATGAGCAACCCTCACTCACCCACTTTTTTACTTAACCCACCCACCCAATAAAAACCAACAACATTTGACAACAGTATACATTTTAAAAGTAAAACAAATTAAATGACTTCTGTATCCCCACCACCCCTGTGAGATTTTTAGTGTGTCTAGAACACGAACACATACATTATACATTATTATACAAGCGAAAAGAAACTTCTCCTACTTGCAAAATAATATATGATATATCGCTCTGTGTTTTCAGTATATTAAAAAATTTCTTCCCACACATGCCAACAATCCCGAAAATACCTCTGCCTATGCTGAGGTGGCAGCCACAGAACCTGGCCCACCACCAAGCTTACGTGGATGCAAATGCACCTGAAGCCCGTTCTTCATGAAGAGTGTGAGCGACATCTTCTGCTGTGCTCGGAAACCGGGAACCGGAGACAGCCGGTAACGCAAAAGCACGGCAGAAACCACCGATTTCATCTGCAGGTAAGCCAAGTCCTTCCCCAAACAAGTCCTCGGTCCAGCATTGAAAGCCACGAACTTGTAACCGTCCTGGGGCGGTTCGAACCGGTTCCCGTCGGCCGACATCCACCGTTCCGGTTTAAACTCCATGCAATCCTCCCCCCAAATGCTCTTCATCCTCCCCACCGAGTAAATCGAATACGTCACCGTCGAACCGGCCGGCACGAAAGTCCCGTCAGGCAGAACGTCGTCTTTCACGACGTACTTGAAATCCTCCGGCACGGAGGGGTATAGTCGTAAAGTCTCAGCCAGCGCCGCCTTCAAGTAAACCAATTTATCCGCCTCGTCGAACACCAAGGGCTCCTCCGTCCATAGCCGCGGATCATCACCACGTGTCTGTTTCAGCACCGTCGAGATCTCGGCGATGATTTTCTCCTCGATGTGGGGATTTTCCATGATGAGGTGGAAGAACCAGCTGAGCGCCACCGACGACGTGTCGCGGCCGGCGAGGACGAAGTTAAGAGCGATGCGCTGGAGGACGGCGCTTGGGAATGGGTTGCCGTCGACGTCGCGCTTGTTCATGAAGCGGGAGATGAGGTCGTCGGACGGTGTCAACTTGCGGGCGGCGACGGCGTCGTTCATGTAGTCCCCAACGATTTTGAGGCTCTTCTCCAGCTGTCGCTCGGCTCCGAGACCGAAGAACTTCTGGATTCTCCATAGGAAAGCGGGGTAGAGGAGGCGCTGGAGGGTGGCTTCAGTGGCGTTGTCGAATGCCTTTGCAAATGGGTTGTCGGATAGCTCCGGCGACAGCGTTTCCGGGTCCTTGCCTGGTGGGAAAATGTTAGTTTGAATATCGCCACGTAATAACTATAATAACTACCATGCACAGTTTTACAAATTTACCTTTTTGAACTTAGATTTAAATAATTTTGCATTTTGGTCCCGACAAATTAAACATTTTCAATCTCATCTTATAGTTAGAAACATTTAGACCATTTGGTTAATTTGCCAAATTTTATCATTTCAATAAATTTGTCGAGCACGTAGATACAATTTTGAATATCAAAAGTATAAGGACCAGGATAATATTTACGGGAAACAGGGAGGTGAAAAGTGTTTGGCAGATCGGATAGGATTAGTTATACGGACCCAGGTGTTTGGCGTTCACTCGTGCTAAATAAGCACCGGATTAATTTAACCGGTCGGATAGGATAATACGGTATACACCCGCTTAATAAAACCAACCAAAACGTCCGGATTATTTAGTCGGGGAAGAAGAATATGGGAGAGAAAGGGAGGGAGTTTGGGGGGGTGTGGCGGAGAGAGCTGGGGAACAATTATTTGGGATTCTTCTATCGTCGGGGAAGAAGAAGGGAGAAAGAGGGAGGGTGTTTGGGGGGTGCGGAGAGACCTGGGAACAAAAAAATGATTTCATTTTAATTTTTTTTTTTTTTTTAAAGTTTGATGCCTCCTATCTAGTATAATATCAAACACAGTATAAATAATACGGTCACTAGTCCGATACTGCACCAAACACCCGACTAATTTAGTCAGTACTATCCGGTGGCTATTTATCCTATCCGACAGAAATAGTCAGTACAGTCCGAGCTGCCAAACGAGGCCCAATTTAAGTTATTTTTTTAAATTACATTTTTAATAAATTTTGAGAGTTAATTTTGAACATTACCGAATGTGAGTCCACAAATGTTGTCGAATGTCAAGCGAAGCAAAAGGTCCTGCAAGTCCACCGCGATGTGATCTCTCGCCGCCTTATCCAAAATGCACCAAAGCCGGTTCCTGATCGTCCGGTTGACCCACCGAGCCATGGCCTGCCTCAACGTCCGCGTCGTGAACTCCAAAGCAGCCGTCTTCCTCTGTATCAGCCACGTCTCTCCGTCGCTGTTGAATATCCCTTCTCCCAAAAGGTCATGAAAAGCTGCCTGCCACGTCGGGCCCTTGGGATAATTATCGAACCGGGTACGGAGAATATGCTCGATGTTTTTAGGGTTGCTTGTCACGGTGTACAACCCTTGCTTGCGAGCCAGGAAAGGGAGAGCGAGCGTGCATGTTTGGTACGTGGCGGAACCGCCAGTGGCGCGGAGGTTGCTCGTGATCCAATCGTGGATTTGCTTCCGATTTGAGTAGAGAAACGGAAGGCTGCCCACAACTGGCCAGACGCTCGGGCCGGTGAGTTTTCTAGCCAAGAGGTAGAACCAGAAGAGGTATACGGATGTGGCAGCAAATAGGGCGGAGAGAATCGGTAGGGCTTCCATTTTAGCTAGCTATATCAGTGTTGAGGTTATAGAATTGGGCGATCGAGCAGTATATACTAAGAGAAAAAGTGTGACGGGTATATATATAAAGATTGATATAAATATTAAAGTGGAAATTTTGTAGGAAGAGTTGTTGGGAAAATTTGGGCATACGTACAAGTCGCTGCCAAATCGAACCTAATTACAAAGCTTTAAACATTTAAGGGCTTTATATTGTTAATTTGTAGCCGTTTGCGTAGGTGCATGGAAGATAATTGCCTATGGGGAGGGAGGAGATTAATTATCCGAAGTAAAATGATTATTTACTGATTAATTAGGTAGGGTTTTAATTAACTTGGTTTTAACTGTCTTATTGTTTGCTTTGGTGACTGGCCATAAACAAATGCCACCTCCGGCCGACATGTTAACGTACGCTACCATTGATTTTAGTATCATTTTCAATCCTTGTACGTGGCATTGGCTTACAATATGGTCATTACTTAATTTAGAAAGATGATGCTTAGAAAGATCATGCTTACATAGGGTAATTTAGAAAGATGATGATGACATGAAATGGGCCTTAATAGGTTCTAGAAATATACTATGTTTGATATAATTGAAAAGAAGAAACTAATAAAACAACTCCGTTCTTGCTATCCGATTTGCGTCTTTTGACTACTTGTTCAATTCATTTTGTTATCTAATCTACGCAAACATGTGATTATTACGTTTTACATGTGGGTTAACTTTTTATAATACTATAAAGGAAGTTGAGGAATTCCACCATAAAACTAATTAGCAATATAAGAAGTAGCCCAACGCTTCATAAATACATTTAAGATTTGATAAACTTGTAATATATAAAAGACATTTCTTCACAGCCTCGCAATTAGATAATTAAAGTTCAAGGCCTTACTAGCTAGCGTTCTAATAAAACATTAACTTAAAGAACATATATAACATTTTGCCTATTATTAACCATCAAATTTTATCTAATGACTTTGTTAATGTTCAAAATTGAAAGTTAACTTAGAGGATAGTGGTTCACTCATAAACGAGGTTTGTATACATATTTGTGTGAGGTTACAAATGTTCCATGAAATGGCTCAAAGCTTTTAGTTGGCAAGGAGAAACCAAAGAACAGTAGGTTTTCTCCATCCAACCAGCCATCCCCTTATTTCCTCTGTCCTCTTCCCTCTATACATACAAACCCACCGAGGAAGGTCAAGTGATGGTCTCACCATACAGATTCATGTGGCCTCTCTCTATCCACTCATTAATGTCTAAAGACTAACAAATATCTAGTCTTGGTCAAGGGGTCTTCATTCAATGGTAGTTTATATGTAGAGCACTTGGAGAGGTGGTCTCAATAGAGCACCCTGGATAGGTGGTCTCCATAGAGCACTGGAGAGGTGGTCGTATGTAGAGCACCTGGAGAGGTGGTCATCTGTAGAGCACTTAGAGATGTGGTCTGGTGGTTTCAATAAAGCACCCTGGAGAGGTGGTCGTCCTTAGAACACTTGAAGAAGTGGTTTGGGGGTCTCAATAGGGCACCCTGAAGAGGTAGTCTACGTACAACACCTGGAGAGGTTTGGTCCCCAATCAAAGAGTCTTTCTTCATAATGGTGACATGGTAAGAATGGGACCGAGTCATTCTGTAGACCAGTGTACAGACTCATAAAATGATTGTTGTTTTATACTTTTTTTTTATTATTTTTTTATTTTTTCAGATGGAAGGTGAATTTCCTTGTTTGCTCTTGCATTTGAGAAAATATTTAACAGAGTGAACGAAAATGATCACTATGATTATACGAGTCCTAACTATTGAGGACTGTAAAACCTAATATTCGAATTCACGGACAAAAATACAACTCATACTATAGTTAAAGGACTGTATTGCTACAATAATTAAAGCCAAAAGGAAAAGATTGAGAGAAAGTTTTTAATCAAACCCCTTTACTAATGACTATAAAGACACTTATACGCTACTTTGAAGACAACTTTTACTTAAGAATCAGGTAATGTACTCAGAAGTTGGTTTCTAGACTTCTACTTATGTGCATGCCAAATCGCTGAAAATTGTAAGCTCACAAGTAAGGTTATGGCTATCCCATTTTCCATGGTAGTTGGGACCATATATACGGATGAATTATATATCTTTTAATTCTTATTATTTCCTGCCAAGCAATGAATTTAATTCCTAATGACCAGGGTTCTGCAAAATACTCAAAAACACTTTCTTGTATATGTATGCATATCAAGGAGAGCAAGTAATTCAGAAGCTTCCTCAGAATCGATCTAAATACATGCATGGAAATTATGGTTGATTTCCTTGGCATTCTTGCAAGCTCAGCAAATATCTGTGAGTGTGAGAGTAAAGGGTGGGTGGAGTCGGTTGACCCGATTTAGAAAACAGGGAAAACGAAATCTAAAACATTTGTGTTTTCTAAGTGAGACACCTAGCTGATACCTAAGAGATGAAGCTCAGTTGACTTTCATTTGATCTGAAATATTACAAGTACTTTCAAGAAAAGATGGAGCTTTGCATAGAACAAATGGTCACGTTTTCCCATTCTTTACGACAATCGGCACCAATCCATGCTGCGTAGTTCGTCCAAACCTCACGTTTCACTGTAAAATTGTACTGCAAGTCAAAGAAATTCTACGCATGGTGAACTTTTGTCAAATAGGGCTGGTTCTGGTTGGTTTTTGGTTTTGGTTTTTCTCACGCCAATCCACACGGCAAGGGCTTCCTCAATGCCCATTGTTTTACACACATATGGATATGATTTTCTTATTCACACCGTTCCCTATGGGGAAGGTTATTGACGGTAGCACACTCACACTAATCTTCACGGCAAGGGCTTCTTCATTGCCCATTGTTCAACTCACACGACAGGCTAGGAGACGGACTTATATAGCACGGGTATATAGTCATTGTGGCGTTTTGTGTCAATAATACAACGTCATATGGTTAGAAATTTATTACATATGATATTATATTATTGACACCAGTCACTACTATAGCAGTATATCCATTACACGTAAGTCGTCTTCGCATGCTATGACTCTTCACTGCCTATTTATTAGCTTGGTCTCACCACTCTAACCTAGTTATTTGGCATGCCATCATCGTAACCCGAGTTTAATCTACTCTGACACTTGGGCCTGTTTAACTGCAGCTTCTAGGGAAGGTTGAACGAGTTCACCACTGTGTGGCATTTCAAGTTATTAATATAGGTTATGAGTAAAATTATCTCCATATAGCCTTGTATAAGTGTTCCCCATGCTTGACGATACGAGTACGGGAATCTGTATCGCTGTACAATATACGAGCGGGCGCGAGGACACTAGCTAGTTACTAGGTATCTGACATCGTCTTGGTTAGCAAAGGTGAAGTTAGGTGCAACCTACATCGGTAAGACTTGTTTTGAGTGGGGCATGCCCCAAAGAGAATACCACGTTACTATGTGCCTATGTGGACCAGAGGCGTGACATGTTTAATACATTTTTTATATTTTCTTTTTTTTGAAAATCAGCATAGAATTAGATCAGCGCAAAAATTCTCTCATTTTCTCTATTCAATTTTCACTCTCTCTCCTTTTCCACTTTTCTTCTTGTTGTTATCGCCGTCTCTCTCACAAATTATAAGATCTCGTTTGGTGCTAAAATTGAATTAGCTGTGTAGAACATTTATCCCTTTAATTTCTATAAAAATCTTGAGAGGCCGGATATAATTAAATTTCTTTTCATAACTAACTAATCTAGCGATTTAGAAATTAACATTCATTTATTTCTTTAACATATTGAATCTAGTAAGTCATTCAGTTTTATCCAATCTTGGACATCAAACAACGCCAAAAATGTCAGCAATCATATGGAATACAAATTCCAATCCTTTTTAGGCATTGTTTTCCTAGTTTGTTAAACGTTTAGCTCCAATAGACCTAGTTGGCTAACCATCTCCACTTGCCCCTTTTAAAATTCTAGTCTCCACTAACTGCAGGTTATGGTACTGCCACGTGTCCTATTCAAATCCATGTAATTGAAGAGAGGTTTTTCAATGTAACTGGAACATAAGATAGTACATCACGTGTTACTATAAAAATGCTATGATATATGTGTTAAAAAGTTAATAACTTATAAAATACAATTTTTCACCATTTTTCATCCTTATTCCGGTCACAATAAAAAATTTCTCGTCATGGGGAACTATCCCTCATCTTACAAAATACCCTTTATTTATTTTTCCTCCTGGTAGAATTTACAGACAGCAGCAAAAATATTGGCCAAAAATATTAGAGGAATGAGGATAAGACACTTGTGGAGAGCTTGTGCTACAAACACAATCCATTCAAATCTAAGTCACCATACAAAATCCATCCAGCGGCTCACATTCACTGAAACAAAAAGTGAGGATACATTATCCTACTCACTTTGCTTCCCTCCTCTTATTCACTCCCAACCATTCCAAACTTTCATACCATTTTCCTCTAGAGACTCAAACAAGCTTAACATGGCTTCCTTGACAATGGTCTTTCCTCCGGTGGTGACTGGCAGAGCAACCGGCCAAGTGTACGCTGCAACGGCAGCCAAGGGAGGAAGCAAAGAAGAGAAGGGTCCGTTTGATTGGATTCTCGGAGGGCTAGCGAAGGAGGACCAGCTGCTTGAGGTTGATCCAATCCTGAAGAAGGTTGAGGACAAGAATGGTACCGTCAGCGGCAGCAAGGGCACTGTGGTTGTGCCGCCGAAGAAGAAGCAGGGTGGCTTTGGAGGCCTTTTTGCCAAGAAGGACTGATCATTTCAGGCAGTATTATGTGTCTAATTTGCTTTCTGTACTCATTGATCATTGTGAAACATGTTAAGCATGTTAAATTCTTCACCTGCCTCTGCATCTAAAGATCTTCATTTTAATATCCATTTTTGATCAGCAGGTAGATAATATATATGATATATTTTGGAAATTAGAATAAATTGTGGCAAATGGGGCTCTTATCTGTTGATGTTTTCCGTGCGAAAAATGATTTTCACATGCCTTTTTGCTCTCTCTACTTCAATTATGACATGTAAAGTACTGCTTCAATATCCGGTATTTGAAAAGATCTCTCCAAACCATGTGATCAGAAAAAACCTAACATTCTAAACCCACACCACCAAAGTGGTGAAGATTAGTAGAATGCCTTGGGAGATAAACTTTAGTGGGGTTGCCTGACCAACCACGTGGTCAGACCCCTCTCACAAGCGAACAAGCCTCTTGTATTTGAATACCATTTGGCCCGCGTAAGTGCAACTCTCAATGCACGGATCTCACGGTCTCACCCCTTGTGACAGCGGCCTGACTAGAGTCGCTGGAGTAGTGTACTTATTGGATGACTTCACAAACCCTAGAGCTTCTGTAATCGTCTTCCTCTCTTTGTTTTCCGAAGCACGTTCGAACTTGATTTTCACCGATGACACCTTAGCTCCGATGGTAAGTTTTCTCTACTCTTTAAACGGAATCGCTAACAAAAATTTTTGACCTCTACGATGTTCATCTTGTTACCTCCTGTAAACTACTTCAAGGACTTAATTTGTCAAAATTAGAAGAATTAGTAGTTTGTTAGCATCTAATAGACTAAGTCATTGCATCAGCTGACAACAACAACAACCAAGGCTTATTCTACTAAGTGGGCCAGCTGTATGAATTCTAGAACATCACTGTTCTCGGGTTTGCATCACCAGGCAACGCTTGGAAATTTTGCATTATGCCATAAGGACAACAAATTTCAAACAATAACCATATGCATAGCAGCATAGGCAGAGCTCTCCAATTTTATGCATCAAACTTATGTACAATACCATGAACTTTGTTTTTCGAGTTTCTTTTGTTACAAACTAAGAGTTGATTTATATAAGAACGATAGTTGGAACAGAAATTCATCATAAATCTAAGGAGAATGTTTGGCTGTAGAAATTGATCTTGAAAGAGAACAAGAGTTGATGAACTCAATGCAATCTTCAATGGTTTCTTCTCTATGAGAATCAACACGAGCCACGAATGGCATCGATCTTCTAGATGAAGAGTCCTTCCGCAAAGGCCTCGACCTCACAGGTGCCATACCCAAATATAGAGTTCCCGCCACCCAGTCGGCCAGATTTCTGAGTAAACTCATCGGTAAGAATCCAGACCATGTAAAAAATCTGAATCCATAACTTTCAGCAAACCTTCGGTCTTGCACAACTCTCCTAGTGGAAGTTTGGTTCAAATAAAAGACTCTCTTCTTTACATACTCTCTGTGGCTCACCTGGGTATTGGCTCTTGTTGCCATACTAGAATTACAGGCCGAAAAGAGAAACAGAGCGAGAGCGAGCGAGACACGAGTTGAATTGATAGAGAGCTCGCAGGGAATAAGTCTTATAATCCGAGTATATGGAAGAGTGCCAAAAAGATATGCCAAAAAGGAAAAGAGAACTCAGTAACCAAAAGCATGATCTAATGTGAGGCATCTTTCCGTGCAAGCGTCAAAAAGTGACCCCTCCAACCAACAAAATACCAAAAAACAAATAGGATGGACGGAAAGTGATACTATCAGTCCAGCATTGTTCACACCAGTAAGTTTCTGCATAGACTCGTGCCTTCATTCACACGTGTCTTCTACGTGCTCCTATTCACTTGAATAATCACGTGATGAGTGAGAAAGACAGAGATACAGATGTCGACTAATAACTTTCTCCCTAAAACCATTGTGCATGACACATTCACAAGTCACATCCTCATTTCTGTTAAAGTGAACTTGTTACAATCAATATAGAGTTCCGGACATCGACTTAGATTTGATCTAAAAACAAAGCTTAAAAGACCGTCTCCTGAGTAAGTCGGTACTAGGAGAATACTGCTTACAGTTCTATTTCCTCAGTTTGTGTACTCTATAAATCTACTGCTTATAGCAGTGGTAGTGTCTGGTGAGACAATGGAGAACATTAACAGCCCCAAAGTTTACAACTTTTCATCTTTCTTTGAGTGAGTGAGGGTGGGGGAAGAGCTGTAGAGGGGAATGCAGCAAGAGCACTGTAAAAAGGAAAAACCGAGGGAAACAAAAACCCGAAAAAAGTTGATTGATCACGAAGAAATCGAAAGGCAAAAGTGATATCTGACAAGATGCAAGGAAGAAGACACCAGCAATCATCATGCTGGTGTTAAAGTGCTTTTGATTCATTGTTCGAATCTCTAAAGCAATCCGTGCATCATGAGTTATTAGGGTATATAGATGGTCGTGGGGCACTAGGATACTTTACAGATTAAGCAGAGCTTCCAATATACTAAGATAATATCAAAGATGAACACCACTCAAGTTTTAAGACCCCGTTGAAATCATAACATAACATGCAATAGCTGTCTAGATCATCAACTTTTCATTAAACATCTTATGGTGCCCATTTGGTAACCATTCTGTTTTAGTTTTGTTGTGGATATTGCGTTTAAGGATGAGAAAAACAAAACAAACTCGGACAACCGAAAGCAAAATAACCAAGACAAATCACACCAAGAATTAACGTGGTTCAACTATGTGCCTATGTCCACAAGGCATCAACGACAATCTTTCTCTATATCAATTATGAGTACAAAGAATAATCTTGCCAAACCCCATTGATTAAGACTTGACGAAAAACTTGAAATAACAAGAACAAAAAATACACTCTTATCCTTTTCTTTTCTCTCGCACACTTTGTCCTTACAATATTCTCTCACTCTAACCTATTGAGTGGTATACAACTTATTATTTTGCTCCAATTCAAAACTCGTGCAATAGCTTCTTTATATAGATATAATAAAGGTATTCTTCAATAAGGAATACTAATCCTAATTGGAACCTAGTTATAAATCCTTCTCCGAGAAACCAACTCCGATTGGAAAAATCACTCCAATTGGAAAAAAACTAATTCAATTAGGAAAACAATTTAATCCACTAAAGACTATAATTCCTAATAGACTAAATCATCATGGCTGAAAAACCCAACAAGCTTTAGTTTCGTTGTTTGTGCAAGGACGAGGGGAAGGATATGAAGGGAAAAGGGGCGAAGAACGGCGGACGGAGAGTGTTGGGAGAGAGAAATGAAGGAGAATATCTGAAACAAAAACTTGAATGTGAAAGCTATAATTGTTTCTAATTTTTAGATTCTGTACCGTTCCGTATCCATTTCTTGCGCATCCCTTCCACCAATTTCCTGTATCCGCCTTTCTCCCCTCTATTTAACCTCTATCTCTAACCAAAAAATGGAAACTAAAAACGAAATGGTTAACAAACGGTCCCTTAAAGATCCAAACTACGTTCTGTTTTCTACAGAGCAAGAAAGTGGTCAACAAAACTTGGAAAAAGCACACTAAATCCATCCAAACTTTCCCTTTCAGATGTATCATCAGTCAAGCATCAAACGATACTGATTAGCGACAACTGAAATCAATTTCTTGATCAAATATGCACAATATCGCACAAAATGTTGTGCAAAAATATCTTATACCATGTCAAGCACATGATCCACATTGAAACCAAACTCAGTCTATTCAAATCAGTATCCAGATGTTTACTATGAGAACATTGCCCTTAACTACTAACATTTCACCTCAGAAAAAAAAGAAAAGAAAAAATCAACTCAGAAGCCACCAAACGCGTCAAGATTAATGGAGAAGCCCTTTCAAGACCAGATATGCAAGCACAGAAATCATTTAGTAGCATCCTTACCACCCAATGCATCATCCTATTAATTCCAACATATTCTCAATAATCTTAAGCACTGAAACAGAATACACACAGGGCATAGGAACAAACCGAAATGAAAAAGAAACAAAACTGTTTCTTCTCTAAGCTGATTGAAAATTGAGTTTGTTACAAGCAGAGTTTATATACAGTCATTTGAACATCCTATCAGATTACTTTGATTCAAGTAAAAGGATGTTTTGATTCAAGTAAAAGAAAATTACTATTTATTATTCATAACAAGCAAAACTTCTCCACCATGTCCAATCATGTAATCCAAGAATTCTCTAACCTTTTCAGCATCTTCAAAGGCCTCAGGAGCAACAAGATCACTATCCAGATTGTACCAAACCCCACCAATCTTCCTCAACGTTACCCAATGCCTACTTTTCCACAACCCGGCAAACATTCTAACCGGAACATTAAGCAGAATACCCATCAAATTAGCATCTTCAGGCCCGTCTAGATCAATCGTAGACGCCCCATTACGCCGATCGTGCCAAACCACATTCTTCCCCTTGTCTTCTAAAGCGGCAATTAGCACATTTATGTCATAGTTTCCAGTAAGTGAATTATGATGGGGTTTAAAGAGCACAGAAAAGGGTGTCCATTTTTCCTTGTTGGGTTCTTCAAGCACAAGTTTTTCAGCAACCTCATTCAGGCTTGATCGAGTAAATGCATCTTTTTTCTGTTCTACAAACATTTTTTCGATAATTAGCATCAAACCCACTTAATACTCAAATCAAATAAGCAAATTAAAACCGAAAAATACACATTAAGGTTGTCTAAAATCATAAAATTAAAGCAGAATGATCGTTTTGGGCAGAAATAATTAGTGGGTAGTCTTCTATTACCTTTCTCCTAATAAAAACAAAATTCAAACAAGAAGTAGATTAAAGAGAGGGATAGAGAGATGGGTTTTGAAAGTGTTACCTGGAAAAGATTGTTGAGCGAATGTAAGAGGCAAAACTGTAGCTTCTGCCGCTCGTGGTAGATTTGGGAGCTGCTGTCGGTCGCCATTTCCAATTTCTCAAAATTCCAGTTCTTTTACTGAGAGAACGTATGAATCCAAAGGGCGAATCACCGACTGGGTGTGAAAGGCAGAAACTTTTTTATTTTTCTTCAGACAATTTTACGATTTGAGGAAGCAGAGTGAATAATTTGAAGAAGGACAAATCCAAAAGCCGTAGCTTCGGCTGTGCAGAAACTCAACTGCGAGGTCGACAAGGAAGTTGAAATTTGTTTGAAGTTAACTAACGCGTCATGTGAAGGAGAGTGGGGCGAATGGGTCGTGGCCCTCCTGGCCCATTGTTTTACTGAGGTGGTGTTATGGCCCATTGTTTTCTGGCGAACTAAGCCGGTTTTGAAAGACCGTACAAAAGTTCAGGATAAATTTTTCTGTATGCCGGTAATGTAGTCCGACGATACATTAAATGTAATAATATAGTTGATTCAAAACCGTAAAAGAAAATTTTAACCAATTATATTATGACATTTACTGTAGCGGGCAGTGTTCCAGCACATTGAAAAATCTCTCAATATATAAAAAACTTACACACAATAATACAACATTTGATCAGAATCAGGTGACGGTGAATTTATTCCATGTTAATTCTTCTCTAATACCACAACTGAACTAAACTGTCATATATGGCGAAGGAAATTCGAATATCGTATGGGTAACTGCTTTACTCAGTGAAGGTACAAGCGGATCAGCCCAAGCACGATTCGATTTTTAAGTGGGCTGGTCCAAGCACTGCCACGACACGTCGTTTATACAAAGACGCGCCTAGCACCCAACGGATAGGCAGCGGGCGCAGCCGTAGTGGATAGCAAATTTCAACACCATCACTCACAGTCACAAACGCTCTCTCACTCGAGCTCCAGGTCTCCAACGATGGCGACGTCCGCAGCACCTTCATCGCTCTCCTTCTTCAACTCCTCAATCTTCCTCCCCTCCTCCCCCCAGAAACCCCTCTCTTCCCTCGCACCGAACAATTCTCTCAAAATCTCTAAACGCCTTTCCGTCTCCGCCGAGCTCGCCACCCTCCCAGTCCTCTCCTTCACCGGCGACAAAGTTGGGGAAACTTTCCTCGACCTCAAGTCCGCGCTCCCCGACACCGCGCGCGCCGTCGTCCACCGCGCCATCATCACTGACCTCCAGAACAAGCGCCGCGGCACAGCATCCACTCTCACCCGCGCGGAGGTCAGCGGAGGAGGGAGAAAACCTTACCCGCAGAAGAAGACGGGTCGGGCCCGCCAGGGGTCGACCCGAACCCCGCTACGACCTGGCGGAGGGGTCGTGTTCGGACCCAAGCCCAGGGATTGGAGCATCAAGATCAATCGGAAGGAGAAGCGGCTGGCGATTTCGACGGCGGTGGCGAGTGCCGCGGAGAACACGATCGTGGTGGAGGATTTCAGCGACGAGTTCGAGAAGCTTGAGAAGCCAAAGACGACGGAGTTTATAGCGGCGATGAAGAGGTGGGGTTTGGACCCGAAGGAGAAGACGACGTTTCTGGTGACGGAGGTGGCGAACAATGTGAGGCTTTCGAGCAGAAATATTGGGACTTTGAAGATGCTGACGCCGAGGACTTTGAATTTGTTTGATATTTTGAATGCGGATAAGTTGATCATGACGCCGGAGATTGTGGATTATCTGAATGCAAGGTACGGGGTTGATTACGACGGCGAGACGGAGGACGAGGAGGAGGAAGAAGAAGAAGAAGGAGGAGTTGAAGTTGAAGGTTAATTCTCTAACGCCATTTTTTGAAGCTGGTTTGATATGATTTGATTCGGGTTTGTTTCGTTTATCTGCATTTGTAGAACTAGTTTTTTGCTGCAGTCTTTTAGCATTGATTTAAATTTCTTGAATTGAGCTTAAGAACACAACCCATGTATGCATATTGATAGAAATTCTGCGGTTAATTTGGTTCAAGTTTCGGACATGGAGGATAAAATGTTTGCGGCAATGTGGTTTTTCTGTTTCTAACAAGCGATATTAGGGAGGGGGAAGACGAACATAGAAACTCGAGGACAAGGTGCAATGTGGTTGTTTATGTATCAAATACAGGATTTCGGGTGCGATGTTAATGGACGGGGGAAGCGAATACAGGATTTCTGGTGCAGGGGGCAATGTGGTTTCTCTTTATCAAACTCATATTTGTTGATTCTTGCAGGCTGGGACGTGTAGGAAATGATCGGTGATTAGATTACGGAAACAAGTTTGTATCGAACATTACTCGCATTTTTACATCGAACCAGTCATGGGTTTTCTGTGTAATTTTACGGAGAGGAAAAGGTTGTATAGGATGATGATGATCTTTTCTTCGAATTTCCTCGTGTTGATTTGGTTTCGTTTTTCGATTTTGGATTGCAGGGACGGCTGCAGATGAGAGTTCTGATGCAGCCGAGTGACGAGACGGATAAACAGCTGTTTTTGTTAACACATTTTCGGCCCCCAGATTAACCTATGAGGAGGTTTCATCTCAGTTCATCCCTAACAGTGTGATCAACTATCCATGCCTTGTTAGGATTGCAACCGAGTCATGTTGCAGGCTGGTTTCGAAACACTGTCCATCATTTTTGTGTTTGTCGTAAAACTCGCAAATGAAATCCAATACAAATGTGTCTATTTGGTTTAGTTACCCCTTTTGTGAGTAAATTAGGGCAGTGATTTCACACCCTTGTTCTCCTTATGCAGTCCTTCCTTTTGTCCTTCATTCTCCACTGGATTTTTCAATCGAAGAGAAAAGGAGTGCACGAGGAGAAAAGGAGTGAGGAAATTACTACCCGTGAATTACTGTTACCAACGCAATGTTCTTGCACATTTATCTTCATCTCTCTGGTTTTTTGTATGTGTGATAAAATGCTAAGCTCTCTTATTTGGTGTTTCTTTCAGTATTTTGTATCGAAGGATATGATCTTGAAACAAATTTGTTAACAGGAACTTCGGAAAACTAACCCTTTTATAACACATGAAAGACTCGAGTCAGGGCTGATTTGGAAATGTTTTTAAAACGATTGACTGCTTCTTGCAGGAAGCACTCCGAGTGCTCTTGGAACTCAAAAACATTTTCTTTAAAAGTGCTTTTGAATCTAGCACCGAGTTTGGCGAATTGAAGTACAGTGAATTTAAAACTAAGTGTTGAGGAAGAAACCAGTTGCAATAGACGAGAGAAGAAAATAATCGAAGCTGGTGAGTTATAGGCACTGTTTTCCTCTTTGTATCATAGAATTGCCACTCAGTTACTCCCAGCCGTGCAGACTGATCGGCTCGGCCATGAAGCTATCAGCTAGCCCGAACCATGGACGAAAGCTCTCCCTCCCTGTGCAAGCACAGAAACAGGAAAAAGAGATGCACACTCCCTACGCAGGCATTAACCTGTTCAGGTTCGAAGGGACTATCTCAGCCTGACCTGCTCCTCGCATACTAACCACGAGGCCAGTGCTAGAGCAGATACAGGCACCCCTGGTGCGTCCTTATGTCAATACGATGCCAACAATATATACACAATATCGATGTAATATGAACGGCAAGCATTTTATTACGGAGAAACACAAGCTCAAGAAAACAATAATGTCATGAGCATTAAGAATTATTTCGCACACACCAAACTATGTCTATACCATAACATGAAAATGAAAACCTCGCCGCGCACAAGCCAATCATGCACGAAAGCCTCCAGAGTCGTCAAACTGATTCTGGTTATTCACGTGATCCTGCAACTGTTCCTGATGTAGAACAAATGAACAAAATAATGAGAACGAAGATAATGGAATGCACGATAGCAAATTTCTTCTTCAAACCGATTCATCCTATGAATGCAGCTTAAGTACAGAAATGGACAGTTTTACAATGGTAAATTAAATTCTCCGCACCACTGATATTTCCCACAAAATCACATCAAGTTTATAGAAAATAGAAATTTAATAAAAAGAAATTACTGACCTTCACCTCTCCGCGGCTTTTATATAACTTTCTGGCAAGTAAATTTCCCCTCCAACTTCACCATGCTGTTCCCCGCTGACAGTTTTCTTGGCAGCAAGAAACTCAGCACTCATAGCATCCATTCCACGGATCACAGCTTCCTCAGCACTCCCGTAACCATGCTCTTCAGCATACTTCCTCACATCCTCCGTTATCTTCATTGAACAGAACTTTGGACCGCACATGGAGCAAAAATGGGCCACCTTGGCACCGTCTGCTGGCAGGGTTTCGTCATGGAATGACATTGCAGTCATAGGGTCTAGTGACAAGGCGAACTGGTCCATCCACCGGAACTCAAATCTTGCCTTGCTCAATGCATCATCCCAGGCTTGAGCATGTGGGTGACCCTTGGCTAGATCAGCGGCATGAGCAGCTATCTTATATGCTATAACTCCAGCCTTCACATCATCCCGGTTTGGCAATCCCAGGTGCTCCTTAGGGGTTACGTAACAGAGAAGGGCAGTGCCTAGAGCCCCAATGTTGGCAGCACCAATGGCAGAGGTGATGTGATCGTATCCAGGAGCAATATCAGTTGTTAGAGGACCAAGAGTGTAGAAGGGCGCTTCATTACACCATTCAAGCTGTTTTTTCATGTTTTCAGGAATCTTGTGCATTGGAACATGTCCAGGTCCTTCATTCATTACCTGCACATCCTTTTCCCATGCCCTACGGGTCAGTTCTCCCTGAGTTAAGAGCTCTGCAAACTGTGCAGTGTCATTAGCATCATAAATCGAACCAGGTCTCAGCCCATCACCAATTGACAGGGCGACATCATATTGATTGCAGATGTCGAGTATGTCATCCCAGTGCTCATAAGCAAAATTCTCTTTGTGATAAGCTAAGCACCACTTTGCATGAATGGATCCTCCTCGTGAAACAATTCCTGTCATACGCTTTGCTGTTAGTGGGATGTACCGCAGTAGAACCCCGGCATGGATGGTGAAGTAATCTACACCCTGCTCGGCTTGTTCAATAAGAGTTTCTCTGAACACTTCCCAGTTCAGGTTTTCTGCAATTCCGTCCACTTTTTCAAGCGCTTGATAAATGGGTACTGTCCCTACTGGCACAGGGGAGTTACGTAGTATCCACTCACGGGTCTCATGGATGTGGCGTCCTGTAGAGAGATCCATGACAGTGTCAGCACCCCACATCGTTGCCCATTGGACCTTATAAACTTCCTCTTCGATAGAGCTGGCAACAGCAGAGTTTCCTATGTTTGCATTAACCTTGACCAGAAATTTTCGCCCAACAATCATTGGCTCCAGCTCCAAGTGCTTCTTATTGGAGGGGATAATCGCCCGCCCACGAGCCACTTCTGACCTCACAAACTCTGGGTCAAGCTTCTCACGAGCAGCACAGTACAACATCTCCTCAGTTATAATTCCCTGCTTAGCATAGTACATCTGAGTGTATCTTGGTGCACCTAATTTGTCTCGCCTCTCAATCCAATCTTTCCGCAGTTTAGGGAGTCCTAGTTATCAACATCAACCAAGAAAATGGATGAAGAAATCCAATTTAAGCCCGAAACACAATACAATAGAAAGACATTTTAGTGGAAACCACATTATTGTAATAAAAACTGAACATTATAACAATTTTCAATCAAAGTTTCCGTTCCATAGGGTGAGGAAGACTACCAAAAAAAATACGTTGAAACAAAATTATTGTGCTTACCAACGCGCGGGCTTATGTTTTGTGGACCGCTGGTGTCATAGTTGTCAAATGGAGGTTCATCCCCAGCCAGGTGGACTCGTCGAAAGGGAACTTTGAGCACATGACCAGTTTCTTCATGAACAACTTCCCTGCAGGGGCAATCACGCATCAGTACGCCACAATCCAATTCACAAATGTACCTCCAACAAGTTATACAGTTCTGGACCAATTAATTCATATGAAGCAGTGGAAGAAGAGAGAGAGATAGACCTGTGTTCTTTTGTGCTCTTGGGAAAACATTGTTCAAAGGACGGAAGAGGCAGAAAATCAGGAGAAGCGGGATCGGCTGTATGCCTTGGTAGTTTGGGTTTCTCGGAATTGGTTGCTGGGGGATCAAAGGTTAGTGTAGCTTTAGCACCTGAGCTCAGGGAACTAAGGCACACTTCCTTCTTGAACGGACTTGAAGGACGCCCCACGGCATCAAACCCGGGCAAGAAGGTAGTAGCTGGGAACTTTGCTGCAGAAGAATGACTGCCATTCTTGCACACAACCGATGTCAGGGCACTATGCACCGATGCCATTTCTGAATTCAGCAAACAATTGGGACATCAAAGGTCAATCCACAAGCAACTAAAAAATGGCAAGATGCTACCAATTTCCTATTTTTATTCACAATTTCACATCCATTTCAGGAAATGAACAATTTCAGTGAGGCATGCAAAAACAAAACAAAAGCATCAGAATTAAATCAATTTATCTTCAACACTCAGATATTAGAAATTGTTTGAATTTCCAGGAAACCAAAATCATTATAAGTTCGATAATTTGGGTTCATTTCATAAGCATCTTAAACTTTCTAGGCAACCAAACAGAAAATTAAGACCAACCCAAGTGAGCTGAAAGGATAATAATGAGAGTAAAAATGTTGGGGATTGAAGAGAGAGAAAGAAGAGAGAGAAAGGAAGAACCTGGAACCTGGGGCTGGTAGAAGAAGGAAGGCTTCTCACAGGCTTATCTTGTTCTCTCTCTCACAACTGAAAATTTCAATGACAACCTGAGCACTTGCCTAAGATTACGTTGTAGCATTTTATAGGGTGTTAAAAAGCAGTGTCCTCGTGTTTGCTCCAGAAGGTAACCAGAAAGCCAACACTACGTGGCTCCAGGTGATTTTTCCAGCCAGATATTTTCTCAATTCTTCTTAATTCAATAAAAAATTAAAGCACATGACTTGCTAATTTAGTAGCATTCGGTCTTTATTTGTTTTAATTTTAAAATTTGATCACACATGATGGGACGAAGATATATTTATAGTTACGTATTCCAATTTCTAGAGTTCTTTCGAAATTATTTAGTGAGTTTAAGATTTATGACTCATGGTGGCTCCATTTAAACAAATTCATAGTTATGTATAATTTGGATGCTTTGCGATTGTTCACGAGGTGCGTGTGGTTAACTGTCTTATGCTAACATGTGAAATTGTGTGACAACTTTGAAATATCGTATGGTTTAAGATTACTCTATAATCACACGGGATGAGACAACGATATAATTTGTGATTACATTATTTTAAAAACTGTTTGGTGAGTTTACGATTAAGTTATGGCTCATCGTAACTTTATTCCAAGGATTCGTTGGATGCTTTGGAGTTGTTCATGAGGAGCGTGTGGCTAAGTGTCTTTCATTAACATCTTGACAAATTTGGCATGTCATATGAATATGTAACTGCCTTTTTTTGGCCTTACCATTCACGTGCGACATTGCGATCTTCTCAATTTTCGAAAGGGGCAACGTAAGATGTTCCAAATTACTTTAGGTCCTTCAACTTTGGTTCTGTGTCTTCGTTTGGTTCTTGTCAAATTTTGGCAATTTCAATCATATATGTTTCGGTTTGGTTTACAATCAAGTTAGAATCATAAATTTCATTGAAATATACAACTCACCGTATACAAGAGTAGATCACTCAGTAATTTTGTCTCTCCAAATGTTTGCAATGAATCCAA